TGATTTATGGTTCTTGTTTTACAGAAAGTATCACAAGCTCACAGAAGTGAAAGCTTCCAAATAAGCACCTAACTTTTGTAATAAATACAGCTAACAACATGTCTGCAAATATAGAGCAAACAGAGTGAGTGATGTCTTATTATGCAGGCCACAGTTTGACTTGGTCTGGTTTTATTTATGAATATGTCCTGCATCTGTTTCAAATTTCAGACCTGCTCGGTTTCTCCAATGCTCTCCCAAACAAGCTTATGCTGAACGTTGTTAATTATCCTAATAAAATATTTGTATCAATTTTACTAAAGATCTGCAATGCTTCTGCCACGAGCAGACATTTTTTAATAACTGAATTAAGAGAAATAATTACAGCTAGCACTGGAATGGTCAGAGATGTCCAGATTGTAGGGGGAAAAAAAAAAAAAAAGGAGGGGAGGAGGGAATGGGCAGAGTACAGCAAACTGTACAAGAGCAAAGGGACATATGATTAAATTAAAGGGCAATGCTTTGTGAACAAACAAAAGGAAATCCTTCTTCATACAATACATAGTCAATCTGCTGAATTCACGACCACGGGGGGTCATTGAAACAAATGCTGTGCCGGGGTTTCAGAGCGGACCGGATAATTTTATGTCTGGTATTAAAATACGTAGCCCTGGAAGCTCAGATAATGATAAGGGTAATCAAACCCCATGCTGCAGCCTGTGAGATGGTGTTGGAGGCTTGGGAAAGGAGCCTGGCTGCCCTGAACCAGCGGGATGGGGCCTTACGGGGGGTTCACCTTCCTTTGAAGAGGCGGGCGCTGCCCACCAGCGTGGCGTGGGCTCCATCACTGATCTCCTCCGGTGCCACAATTCCTTGTTTCTCAGTAAAAATAAAACATGAGACCCTGGTGTGAATTTCTAAGCACTCCCCTCTTGCCGCTGGTTCCACGGCACTGAGTGATCTTTGAGGGAATGTGATTCCCTCGGCTTATTCTTGTCGTCCAACTAAATACTTGATGCAGGAACGAGCTGTAAGGACCACTTTGTGCATCACTCCCAGGTGTGAAAGGTGCAGGGTCTGCCCACTGCTCTGTGGAGAAATTCCTGTTCAGCATGGCAACTATTTAACCCTCTGCCAGAGAGAAAAGCTTTACATATATTTTTCTGCCATGAAGTCTTTTAGTTTCTTTTGCAAGCCCATGCTGAACATGAGGCCTTGTCCCTGGTTTTAGCTGAGAGCCGTGAATCTCATTGTCTGTATTTCACGTTTTTATAATACCTGTTACCCAGGGATGTGTCTTGTGATCCTACAAGAAGAAGGGACGTATTCTGTGCTTTTGAACGAATATGTCCTACAACATGCTCAGTGCCATTGGCTGTATGACATTGGCAGCCATGTAAAAAACCACAATAAATGAAAAATTATTGTTTTTAAAAAAATGTAAATCGAAAAAAGTCAGAATATTAAATTATTAAAATATTAAAGAAAAATAGTAAACCATTGAGCTACAACCAGGGTGTCTGCCAGCACCATTTAGGAACATCTGATTTCTTATTTCACTTCTGTGCAGCAGGAAAAAGTGACAACTTCACCTTTCAGCATTGTCAGGGTAACCCTTTTCCCAGGCTGTTCACATGCTGGAAAGGGGCAGTGGGGAGGTAAGCAGGCTGAACATCGGCATTCCTTGGTGGAGCACCACAAGGAAAAGCTTAATTGGCATTTAAAGTTAAGCTTCATGGCAGGAGGGGGGAGCCAGACTCTACTTCATTCCATGGAGACTTCACCCTTAAATGTTTGGAGCCCTCAGCCCCAAAACCAGGGACATGGTGTGGTATTCTCAGCTCAGCTGTTCCTCACTGCTCTGTGTCCATCATTTGTTTTTGCTGGAATTCATTGAGTTAGAACCTAATTTTCAGATGCTAAAACCAATGAAATGAGCACACTCCCCTTGCCAGTTATTTTGGATGTTGCCCTAAACTTGGATTGCTGTTTCTAGCACATAATCATACTGTGTCATCTGCAAAAAATTTGCCACTCTCCAATATTTTCTTTTCCAGTTGAAATAGACCCAGGCTAGTGTGCTGCTCCCAGGGACAAGCCACTGCCACCAGCATGTGGGAGACCACTGCCAGGATTAACTGTCCTGATTTCTAGGACAGCACAGCTATTTCCAGTGTGTTTATAAAAATTTAATAAATATGTAAAGGAATAAATTTGGTCAGTTCCAATAAATCAAGGACTGGGGTCCCTGTTAGGAAATCCTTGCAATCTGGCCCAATCTCCAAGGTAGACACTTTGTGTTATCTCCCAGCAGATCTTATATACTTGTGGGTTTGTGGTGGTGGTCAGATTATTTTTTTTTTCTTTCTTTTCACTGTAATCTTTGGGGGAAAATGGGTAAAATTGCAAGACATGCCCTCAAAAAGGAGCGGTGAACTGCATCTGCACCCTGACCAAAGCAACAGCCTCTACTTGTAATCCCCTTCTTTTCCTTGGGAAGAAATTGCCAGTGGGTTGGTGAAATGGAAAATATCCTGCAGAAGAATTAGTGAGATCATTTGGAAAATAAAAGAGCATTTATTTTTCTACAGAAAAGTTTGTGTAGAGCTTGATAGGTTAAAATGACTATGGCAATGCTCTCCTGCTCCAGTGGGATGGTGCGGTGGGATGTCAGGAACCTCGTGCTGCTTTTCGTATTAGTTTGTTAAATGCCATTTGTGTTTTGATCACACCCCTAAATTACAAAGGAGAACACATGATTCTTGTGAATGTATTTCTTTATTAACAGCAGGTAATCATGATAATCTCTTTGTATACCTGCCTGAGGATCAAGATTTCAAAAGCAGCCCCTAAAAGGGTGCACACTAAATATGTGCATGCTCTCATCTCATCTCCATGTGCAAGACCACGTGCACATTTCTAGATAATTACCTGTCCAGTTCACTCCTGCATGGGCTCTTGTTTAATGTAGGCACAAAGAAGGCAATTTGCATACATAAGTAGACAGTGAGCTCCAGCTCTTCCTCCTTGGTTTTCCCTATGAACTCAGCAACTGGATGTGAGCAAGACCTACTCCATTCCCTACACCTTACCTTCCTAGAAAGAGTGCTCCCAGAGGGTTAATTACCACCTGTTTGTCTTCTCTGGTTATAAATGTCCAAAACAGTGGTTCTTCCACTATGTCCCTGGGGAGACTTTTCCACCTTTGAGGCCACTTTTTAAAATTTGGCCTCACCAGAGCGCTAAAGCTGAGAAATTCCCAGTGACAGAAAGAACTGAAACTTCCAGAGAGACACCATTTCCAAGAGCATGTAGTGGCTTCAAACTGGCAGAGGACAGGTTTATATCAGAGATTGAGAAGGAATTCTTCCCTGAGAGGGTGGTGAGGCCCTGGCACAGGTTGCCCAGAGAAGCTGGGGCTGCCCCATCCCTGCAAGTGTTCAAGGCCAGTTTGGACGGGGCTTGGAGCAACCTGAGATAGTGGAAGGTGTCCCTGCCCATGGCAGGGGGTGGATGAGATGAGCTGGAAGGTCCCTTCCAACCTGAACCTTTCTATGATTCTATGATCTGCCGAATTCATAATTGAATCGTTGACTGAATTCAGCAGAAGAGCCAGGGATTGACCAGCTATGCTGGTCCTGGTGTGTTATTTGAATGAGTGGGAGTGGCTGTACTGAAGGAAGGTGTGCACTCTCTGCCTTGATTATGTAAAGACAAGAAACACAAGAGTTAAATGTGTTTTTCTGGACCTAAACAAGTGAGGGAGACTGGATTCTAACCCACTGCTCAACTGTGATTAATGTCTGCTCCTGGAGATAGGAAATTGCCTGTGAACAGACTGGGAAACTGATGGGAAGGACATGGATGACACAATGCCTTTTATTTTTTTCCCATTTCAGTCTCTAACTTTTTTTACAGGGTCAAAGAAAAACTGCCAGTAAAAAAAGTGCAAAATTTTGATAGAACATAATTGCAACTCTTTTCCAGCTTTAAGTCATCTTGAAGAAGTAATTTAACCATACTGTGCTGGTTGCCATTTGTAAATTGTTAATTAACAAGAGAGCAAATAATAATTACTGCTGGAGCCATTCAATTAAAAGATGTTGCCTTCTAAACTTTGTTCACACGGTCTATATTACCAACATCAAGTCTAGAAATATGCCACAAATGCTGGCAAAAAAGCAAAACCCAAGTTTTCCCCCAGCATTATACAGCAGCAATTTTTATTATTTTGATTGTCAAAGCTTGTGGTCTGCGAGTTCATGTGGATCAGGAATATGTCTCTTTGTGGTTTTGCTATGAGAGTATTTTTGAGAATAAGATATTGAAAAAGCAGCAAACAAAAGTTCCTTGCAAGAAAACGTTGCCTTTCTGTATAACATGCCTAGGAAAGGTTTTGACTTGCTGGGAGACAGTAGAGAAAATGGAGAACAAATGCATGTGCCTGGTCTGGATAACCTAAAGTTAACTCCACATGTCAAACTGATTGCCTGACACAAGGCAGGCATATTCTGTGATGACAAACAAATAGCACCTCCATCCTGCAGACATCCCCTAATTATAAAAGAGAAATTATTTCCCATTTTCATTGCCAGCAAATGTATGTTACTCTGGTGCACCATAATTTCAGTCTAAGTACTGTATCAAAGTTTGCTGAATGTGAAGCACAAAGTATGTTAGACATTAAACTGTAATTACAGAAGGGAGTGGATTTCTAGAGTATTATGTTTTTTGGTAATATTTTATTTTATTGGTTTTCAAATATACTTAGACTGCCAGACTAAGCAGGCAGAATAACAGCAACACAGAATTCCTGAATAACATATGACTTTAATAAAATAAAGCAGGATGGTTTCCTTTACTTGTATGGCTGAGAAGAATGGAAAACATTACTGTGCCCTCAGCCACACTGCCATCCAGACTTGTGCCCAGGCCCAGATGTCAGCTTGGGCAACTCACCCCTATCCCCACATTTCCCCCCTTCCCCCCCCTCCAAACCTTGTTTTGGGTTATCTGTGAGGCAGAAATTGGCTCCTGTGATGGTGCTGAGCCAGTGGAGCTTTCATCTTAGTTTTGAGCTCTTATGCTATGGAAATATATATAATAAGACGTGATATAAAAGGAGGTGATAACATGGGAAGGTGTACACAGATACAGGAAACACAGAAGGGTTATTCAATCCATATGTCTGTTTTTGTTGGTTTACACTTTCACCTTGTCCGCTTAATTTCCAATGAATGTCACAGGTGGTGAGCCTAAAAGGCAAGCAGGCGTGTTCCGAGGTCGGATCAGAAGTGGGATCAATGATGAGTTATGGGATGGGTTGGTTTCCCTGGGTGTCTCTGAGCGGTGGCTCAGTCCCCGCTGTCACACTCCCGCCTTTCCATTACGGTGCCATCACTCACAGCTTCGTCCTCTGTGGTTCCTGTAATGATCTACACTCGTTCTGTCTCCCTGTGTCCACCTTCTGCATGTCAGGCTCCTGGAAACAGCCGGGAATGTGGTGTTCAATACATGACCAGCTGTGCTGGGGATAATTTTCTACATGGCTGAGAATGTGCACGTGTGGGCTTAGGGCTGGAGGCTGTGCCTTGGGGTCCTGCTCCAGGGGCATTTTCCACATGGTTCCTCGGGAAGGTATTCCCTCCTGGAGATTATATTAACACTATTTCAACATGACTCTGCTTGTTCTCATTTGATGCTCCCTCTTTTTTGGGGGGCAAAGATCAGAAGAGTTGTCACTGCCAAGGAAAAGTGTGAGAGTTTTTAGAGTTCACATGGGAATCACGGACTGCTTTGGGTTGGAAGTCTCCTTCAAGATCTTCTAATTCCAACTCCCTGCCATGTGCAGGGACACCTTCCACTAGACCAGGTTGCTCCAAACCCCATCCAACCTGTGCTTCCCTTTGGCTTAGGGAGCAAACACTGACCATGAGTTGGTATTTTAGGCACAGTCCATTTTCAGGAATGAAATACTGAGCTGAATTCAGTTTGATTTAGAGTGCCATTACATGCCATTCCACAGAGGTGGCATGGACTGGAAGGCATCAGGTGCTGCGCCTGGGAGGAGACCATCCTTACATGGACAGCTCTGGTCTTTTAAAACATGTCTTCTTGCTCACACTTAATTTTCAGTAGTCACTGAAGTTGGTCCACTTTTCTTTACACAACCAGGTGTTAATTATGACAGTTCTTTTTCTAAATTTCTACATTCTTTTCCTTCTTCTTCTTAACCAGGAAATCTCTGGCCATTTCTCATAGTAGGATAGTGGATAGTGGATACTGTACCTGTCTCAGGCTTTTGCAAAGGCATCACAACAAAGTGAAACAATCACTTTTTGGTTAATTTCCTTATTCTACAATTAAGTTTGCCCTAACCCTGGGACTTCCACATCTTACAGCAATCACAATCAAACAAGCACCCAGTAAAATGTCACCACATCAACTCCTTTTCTAGGGATGGGGATTTCTCATCAGTGGGTTTGTTCATCACCTTGACTGGCATTTAATGTGCATCAGTTTTGGATAATTGTGGAAAAGCTTTGAATGACAGATTGAAATATTTTATTTATATGCATAGAAATCATTGGGAGGTGGGAAGACTCAGAGTTTGGTCTATGCAGCTATTGAGTCCCTGGCACCTCCTCCAAGACTCCCATGTACATGTTCTGTCCTGGAGGTAAAACCACAAGTGTCTGACCTGCTCTTCCAGCCTAAAATCTTCTCTTACTGATGATGTTTAGCATGTAAAATACCTGATTTTCAGGTGCAGGAGTAGAACACTAAACTACTCTTGGTGTTTCCACGAGGAAAACATGGTCTTGCTTCCTGACAGTGATTTATGCCCTGAAATCTCCAAATGTCTTTATTGGCTCTTTCCTGAGAGCTCAGGCAGAGCTATTGTGCTCTCAGCTAGGACTATTTATACTCGTGCTGACACCCAGTGCCCTTTCCTGAATTGGTGGAGACCATTTACACCACACCTGGATTTTTTTTTTCTCCGTAAGTGAATAGAAATAATGGAAGGCTGATTTTGTTCCTCCATCCCTCCCTAAAATCCCACATGGGCCCCAGCAGTGGCTGCATGTTTTGAGAGGCTCTGTGGCTTCCAGGAGCTCCACAGAGAGGAAAGGATGAGGGACACAAATAGGAGAGCTCCTCCTTCTGTCACATCCCATCCTTTGAGGCTTTATAGCCTCGAGCTGTGCCAGGGGAGATTCAGGTTGAAACACAAGAGGAATTTCTTCCTGGATGGGAGGGTTTTCCCAACCTCAGTGATAGTGGGATTCTGTGATCTCACAGCTGGGACAGAGGTCTTCACATGTGGTTTTGTCTGAGAGAGATTCACCTCACTGCCCCTAACTTCACTCATCCGAGGCTGCCCCCCAGTCCATGTCCAAACACATTTGGAGACTGTACCAGCTTCCCTCTCCCCTCAGCTGGGCAGAGCAGGAGCTGCTCCTGGGCCATGATGGAGCTGGGCATCCTCAACCACATCCTGTGCACTGATGCACTGATCCCATTCTGGGTGATACAGTCTGTCAATACTGTTGGTTTATTAATTAGTCTAAAAGAAGGGAGGCACTTCCCACACAAATGCAAGTCCTGGCCAGGAAGAGCTGGGAGCAAGCCTTTGCCTACGAGTTGCCTAATGCAGCTACTGAAACCCTGCCAAAGGTTTACTTTCAGAGCATTCCTATGGGCAATATTTTTATAACGTCTTATATCCCAGAAGGCCTTTATATGTTTCCTAGAAGCCTGATTTTTTTTTTTTTTGTAAAGAGCAAATATACCCAAACCTTTTAAGTTTCCCATTCTCCATCCTTCAGGTACTTTCCATTCGCTACCTGATGCACAGAACCATCCTGAGGAGGATTTTGGAAGGGAGATCAGGGCAGTGTGAGGCAGGTTGTCCATCTACTGCTGTCATAGCTTGGCATTCCTGACCCAGGGAAGTTGGCAGCCGACCTGCCACAGGCACTGGGCCATCTGAGCAGATGGGCACGAGCGTGGCCAGAGAGGAGCCGTGTAGGAGCATTTAGTGTGGCAGCAAAGGGCAGAATTCCTGGACAGGCGCTTTAAGCCCAGCCTCTTGTTTAGGGAATATCCCCCTGATGTACATGGGGTTTTTTGGGTCTTAATGCAGTAGAAACAAAACTATAAAAGCAGGAGGAAATGCTTGAAAATTTCAATTTCTTTGTGACATTGTGCCAAGAAATCCTGCCGGGATTTTGATGGATGTCTCTGGAAGCGGGAGGTACGCAGGTACAGCTGCTCTGACAAAACCCACTTTATTTTCAGGTACATAACCACTTTCAGTTTTGACACCCTGATTTTTAATTGACTGCTGAATATTAAACAAATGGCTGAGATTGAACTTGCAAGGATTTGTTTTTTTTTAAACTGTAAGCCTTTATTTTAAACTGGAACTCTTTATTCTAAACTGCAAGTCTCTTTTTTAAATTGGAACTCTTTATTTTAAAATGTAGGTTGTTATATTGACTTCAGTGGCCTGAAACCTGTGGTTTTGGATGCAGAAGTGATGCTTTCCAATAGAAGGACATATGCAAAATTAAATCTATATATCCTGGATGTCCACCTTGCACTCTGTGTTGAGGGTTGGTTTCCATTCAGGATATGTGATTTAATATATAGAGAAGCCCTGACAAGTTGTGGGGTGGAAGGGATGTTAAGCTAGATTCCATGCTGGAATATACCCATATCCAGATTGATTCCAGCTGACTCCAGCAAGTGGCTGAGGAATGCAGTCACCCCTGGCCCTACGATCACACAATTTAACACCTCTGCCCTTAAAATGGCCCATCAGATGTTCCCAGGACGGTCAGTTCCCGGAGTTAGGTGTCTCTCCCATCAGGCAACATGGATCTGGGCCCTTTTCCTTCTGTGCCCTGGACCAGGACCAACTAAAATTACATGAGTGCTGGCAGATGTATGTCTAATCTGTTCCTCAAAATTGCCAGTGAGTTTCACAATCTCCCATGGTAATTTGCTCCAGTGCCTAATTATCCTTTCAGATAGAAAAGCTCCCTTTCTGCAAGCTAAAACCTGTTGCTTCTTGTCCAGCCCTGTTTGGACATGGAAAAAAGTGCTTGTCACCTTATTTAAGGTAATGATTTATATATATATGTTTTCATATGCACTGTACATAAATATCTTTAAAATAAAAATAGTAATGAGGGTTCCCTTTTTCTTTCTAGACTAAGTAAACTCATCACAGTTTTTCTCAAATGTCCATAATTTCTTATTATTTTCCTCTGCACTTTTCCCAGTTTTTCTTTTTCTAAAGGCTAATGACAAGAAATGGGCATTTTATTTTTGTTAAGGCCTTAATGGTGCTCTGTAGAGATCCCAGAAAGTCATTTGCCTTTTTCTAACAGTGATGGATGTGTTGACTCATAAAAATTCTGAGGTCTCTTGTAGCCTCACTTTCTGCAAAATTCCACCGTTGTATTTGTGTGGATTGGATTTTTCTTCCTATATATAGTGCCTCACACTCCTCTTTATTAAATGTCATCATTAAGATGGGTGCTCCAAAATAATTTGGAATTTTAATACTTGCTATCTTTCCCAGCTCGGTGTCGTCCAAAGTCTACTCTCTCTTCTGTCATCCAAGTTGTTAATGAAATATTGAACAGCATCAGATCCAGGACAGATCCAGCTGGGACCCTGCATGGTGTGTTCTCCAGCACTGACAAAGAAAGGAATTTCTGTGTTTCATTTAGAGCCCTGGATGATCTAATCCATTGGATTAGATGGCAACTACAAGAAACAATGAAAAAAACCCCAAAATAATATCCTCAAACTGCTTTTTAGAAATACTCATTTTTGGAGCAATATATATAATATTTTCCATTTTGTATCTTGAAGTCTTCTCAACATACCTTTGCCATATTTTATATCTTTGGTTTTCTTGTTGAAGGAACAGAATCCCTACTGCCTCCTATAAATAGTCTCACAAGGTTTTGAAGTTCAGCCCTGAATTATGGAAATAGAGAAAGAGAATAGTTAAATTCAACTTTTTGTGGTATTTGGCAGATTTATAATTATTTTTTCCAGTAACAGACTAAAAGGCATCAACACATCTTTACTGTGACAGCTCTGCTTTTGCAATGGAAAGAAGGTAAAATCAAAAAAAAAAAAAAAAAAAAGCAAGAAATCAAGTTTTTACATAAAACTCGAGTGTTTCTTTAGGCTAAGCTATGGATTTTTAAAAATGAAGTCTTATAAACTCACCATTTTTTTCTTTCCTAAATGGTAGTTACCTTGTTTAGGAGAGGCTGCTTAGATTTGGTTGAGAGATCCTTATCCCATGTATGGGAATTGTCTATGAAGAAGCAGGGCCTCCCTGGCCCAGACCAACCTAAATTAAATCAGAAAAATGACCAGGTATCATCAGACTTTGAGAAAAACCTTAAACCATAGAGGTTAAAGAATAACTTCAGTCTTGATGGTTTTTTAATATATATTTCATTTCCCTCTCCCTTTAATCCATGCAAGACATACTTTCTAAAGACTTTATCAGTGGAGTCCAAACCTCAGCAATGTTGATCAGGTTTAATAGATCCAAAGTGTTCAGTCATTTCTTGGTTACCTGGTTTCCTACCTGCCACTGGTCAAAGAGCCTCACCTGGTTGTTTCTGGCCCTTGGTCTTACTTTGTCTAACCCTGCTCAACCATCAGCACATAGACACTTGAAACAGGTTTGACAGAGTCACAGAATCACAGAATCATTGAGGTTGGAAAAGAACTACAAGATCATCAGATCCCACCTTTGATCAATTCCCACCTTTGACTGATCCACATCCTGTCATCCAGCCCAGAGCACTGCCACATCCAGTCATTCCTTGAACACCTCCAGGGACACCTCTACCACCCCCCTGGGCACCCCCCTTCCGATGTTTAAATGGTCAAAGAAAGAGAATTGGTCAAATGTTTTTGCAATGAGATAGCATGGACTTATTCTCTAACATGCTTTTTGGTTTCAATTTTAAGAAACAAATTATTTTCAGAGTTTGGCAAGATAAAACAATCTGGAACAAGTAGAAAACTGACTGCACAACCCTGTGCATGGAAGGATTATTTAATGTGACTGATTAAATACAATCTTGCAGCAGAACAACCTGTGTTTGTACCTCGTAGGGCCCTGGGACAGCAGGATCCCTGAGGGTCTCTCCACTGAACTCGTCCACCTTTCAAGGGGTGTAGGAGTTGTGACCTCCTGCTCTCTGATCTCTGCAGTCCATCTGCTTCATGCCTTGGCACTTAATCGCCTTTCTCCTTTTGCTGTAGGAAAACTGAACTTACATGACTTTGTTTGCCTTTCCATTTCGTTTGAAATGAATCAGCTCGGTCTGAGCTTATTTTCTATGACTAGTTCCATGAAGTTTTTAACCACCTATCAAAGGCAAATTTATAATAGTGTCACCTCCCATTGTGTCCCATTGTGCCACAGAAAAAACCTCTTTTCATACTGTCCCACTCAACAACACGCCAATATTTGACTCACAGATTAAACTGGGATGGGAGAAATAAAATAGATTGTTAAAAAATAGCCATACTCAAAATCTCCCTCCTGGCAGATCAGTTGTTCAACTTCCATATGTGCAAAAGTGATTCTGACTTCTATTTTTTTTTTAATTAAATTGCGAGAGTAGGATTCTAAATTTGTCAATATTAACTCAGGAAATAAGAGTCTGAAAATCAGAATTTTGCAAATTACTGTTTTTTTGGTGAACCAAGCTCATTTATTTACCTTCCCAGCTAGAAAAGACTCATCTAGGTAAGTAGCCAAGAACAGGAGGGTACAAATGGAGAACTGGAAGGAGAGTTTGGCTGAGGTTGTATTGACTTTGGCAAAAACAAGATATGAAAAATTATACCTCAGATAAAAATAAATTATAATCTGCAAGCGTTTGAATTAGAGGAGTTCTCCATGTAAACTTAATAAATGAATGTTAATTCAGTTACCAATTTGTAGCTATGAAACATAACTAGTGATGTTGTTCTTTGGAACTTGTTTTGGAAAAGATTGCATAACCCATGAAGCAATTCTTCACCAAGTGCATAAAAGTGTCAGCTTATGGATAATTTATGCAGACAGTGTTAGTTATGGCCCGTTTAATAGTACTTAATGCTGCTGTATGACATCATTCTTTCATTTACCAATTGAAAAAAAAAATAAAAATACAGTCTGAACCATTTTAAAGATTAAAAGATATGTGCATGAGTTTCGATTCTTTTGGTTTAAATTGTGTAAGCCAGTAATCCTCACTGCTGTGTAAAGGATTTTTACAAGGAATGATTGTCATCCACAGTCTATGTATTTACTATTTAGTTAGTTAGCTTAATTACAATTTACTCACTGTGTATGTGTTAACTAATACACTGTTAATGTGCCTTGAGCAATTAATTTTGCCGACAGCAGAGTAACTGGCTCTATGCACTTGCCCCTTTATTAGTGGCAATTATTAAATCCAATTTTACTTGTACTTACTCCATTTCCTCTGCTGCCTACAGGGCATCCCGACGGGAGGGTGAGGACTTTGTGCTTCTGTTCTCAGCCTTTACATCCTTCTCCCCTCCCCGTGCCCAGGGGAGGAGCAGGGTCAGGGTGGGTCAGTGAATCTACAGGAAGGCACAGGAACATCTTCATGGAAGAGAGAATGAGTCCATGTCCAACACTGAGCTGCAAAAAGCCACTTTCCTTAGGTTTGGAAAGAACTGAACTTTACTTTGACAGGGCATTGGATCCAGAGGCATAAGATACATCCAGAATGTGAAAGACTTTAACTTCCTTTCAATGTCAGATTTCTCGAGGTCATTGAGGCTGCTATATCCTAGAATTACAGAATGGTTGCAGAATATAGAAATATAGATTATAGAAATTATAGAATGGCTACAGAAGGGACATTTAAGATCATCCAGTTTCCAGTTCCAACCCCTGGCCATTGCAGGGACACGTCCCACTAGACCACTTTGCTCCAAGCCCTGTCCAACCTGGCCTTGGATGCAGGGAAGGTGAACAAAGGGACTCAGTTTGAGATCCTTGCTATAAACCTTCTGCCTACTGTAAGTCAATTTATCTGGCTAACTAAAATATTAGGCCAAAAGTGCCTTTTGCTGTGAACTCTCAAGGAGCAAAAGAATTGTTTATTAATATCCTCTCTTCTCACTGAATAACCTTCTCACTGGATGTCTTTTCTGAGGGCAGCAGTGCTGTCCTGCCGTGTACAGATCACATTTCCTAATTTGTTGTGCTGGCTCCTGCTCTCCTGACCAAAATTGAATGTGTAATGTTCGTAGCAGGTGAGCTGGCCCAGCACTGCAATTCCCACCACCTGCCTGCTCCGCCAACTGCAAGATCTCCACTTGGCACAGCCAGGGAAACCTGGGCCACAGCTAAATGGGTGGAAACTGCTCATTTTGCAAGTGATGATCTCAGTCTCTCACACTCTCCCTAATTTTTTCTTTCCAAATATTCCTAGCAGTGCCACCTCAGTAGCGCCAGGGCAGTTTTTTTTGGTTTACCAGATCCCAGTGGCTTCCACAAAAGATGAGGAATTGACACATTTAATTGCTGATCTTTATCCATAATTGTGTCTATCAGAAAAAGTCCTGAAAAGGCACCTTAAAGGAGGCACAAACCTTTTTTGCAATAGTGTAAGTGATTTGAAACCAGAGTGATTCCAGGACCTTTAAATATCCAACACGACATACATGGGTAAATGTAAAGAAAATCACAGACTCAGGGGTTGAAATTTCTTAAATTATGAGTTGAACTGTGAAATGTAGATTCTGTGAATAAAGCTGCCAAAACCAGCTGATTGGCTTAAATGAGGTGTGTGAACTCCAGTGGCTGGAAGCCTTTCCCAGGGCTCCTGTTCCTAGCCCTGCTTGGAACATTCCTGATGCAAAGAGCAGTGAAACCAGCAGGTCTTTTCCTCTGGCTTTAGCCAGATGGGAGCAGGTCCTCCCATCACCTTCCAAAGAATCTGTCTCTCCTCTGGCTTAACTGGAGGAAAGTTGGTGGGTACAATGTCCAAAAGTCCATCATCATGATCAGACTGAACAGTACCAGTGGTTTGAAAGCTGGGCTGTTGCTAAACTCAGAGGTAACGGAAGACCATCTTTTCTATCTTCTTTTTAAGTCCAGCCTACTTTTTGCAACTGGTTTTTGTATGAAAACCATCCAATCAGGAGCTCTTGGGGCAGTAGAAATGCAGAAATGCAGAATTCTTCAGGAAAACCTTTGAAGGACCAGAAAAGGTCTCTGTCCCACTTCTCATAGAAATACTTTGGATTACACCCAAAAGTAAATAATGTTTTTAAATAATGTTTTGTCGTTGCTGTTCTTTCCATGCACTAAATTTCTTGGACAAAATAAAGTGGAGTTCAGAGATTTTACTGATTTGAAACATATAATTTTCCATGCGTGTACTGAAGCGTATTCATCAAATCTGCGTTATTAAGACAAGATTTGACTTAAATGATAGCCAAGAGTATCCAGAATGCTGCGATTTCTACTTATGAAATCCATCTTGAAAATCACTGCACTTTTATAGTTTGATCATAAGTAAATTTAATATTGTTGCTGACAAAGAAACTCTGTACCACTTCTTGATAATAGAGTGAAAATTGTGCTTTCTGTTCTTGTTCCTGGAGATGCTGCTCTCACATGGGGAAAGGTACAGCACTAACAACATATTTGCAATTACCTGCAAGACTTAACCAAGGAAGTAGTCAGTTTATAGTTACCTTCAATATGTAAACTACAAATTATTAGTGCATGAAAACGGCATCCAAGTTCTGTTGCTGGGGTCTAGTAATTTTGGATATTTTCCATGCTATTACTGCCTGCTCCATATACCTTTACTGGTTCTTTTTGAAATTAAGTTAATGGCACTCTGCAGAAATGGACTGCCTACTGAGAGGGAAAGCTTGCTTGCAAGGATGGACTAACTTCCTACTGGGAAGCACTGATTTGGCACAAACAAAGAAATGCTTTAGCATTAATTTACTTCGGTATCAAAATATTTAGAATAAATTATTTAAAATATTTAAGGACCGAATGGTCAATATTTGCTTTTAATAAATTGGACCCATGTACAAATATTTGATGCTGAAATTTCCTCTGGTATCTCCCAGCTATATTACTGAGATAATGCATTCTCCACTTGCCAGGAGTGTTTTTTGTTTTTTTTTTTCCTTCAGGCAACAAGGGACACATTCTTGAACTGGGGCTTACATTTGTGTGCACCCACATTTGTGCACCTATTCCCTGTGTGGATTGAGCTCTGCTCACATTAGTACTGGTAATATTGCTGTGTTTTCCTGTATTTTTCAAACAGAGGTGAAGGCAAG